ATTTTTTAAAAATTAAGATTGGGGGGGGAGGGAAAGGAGAACTGGTTGAAAAAATGCAAATATACTGTAAGATTGGAACATTACCACGAAGCAAAATCTGCATGCTTTCTCAAAACGTAATGGGCTGCGGCTCAGAAGAAACCACCGTCTCTCACTCGAAGAGCCCCCTCATCCGCACAGACCCGCACCCGCACACAGCCGGACAGTCCCCCGGAGACGAGCAGCAAAGCCAGAGCGAGGGATTCGCGGCCAGACCCGCCGCCGCGGGCTGGGGAAGGAAGGTTCAGCGCTGCCCGGCGGCAGCCTCAACCACTGAGCGAGAGGGACCTTTCCCCGAGCAACCTTTCTGTATATATTGTTGAATTTTAGTTGTACATATACTTTGTATGTTTTTGTCTTCTTTCATATATAGAGTAAAAGCCACAAAACGCCCGCCTGGCTCCTATTTCTCTTCACGTTAGCGGATCCCCACCTGCCCCGACTTGCCCCCCAGACCAGTCCGGGCAGAGGGATCCTTGTGCCCAGCTTGCCTGAGTGCACAGACACCCCTACCAAAGCATATATCTGCAAGCAAAGAAAGAAAAGATGAAGTGGGGTGGGGTAGCTGGTGGTTTAGTTGGTTTTAAGGCTACGACTTAAAGGCAGGAGGTACCGAGTCCACAAAGATACGCCTAGACGAAGCTCCTAATCACCCGGCCGTTTCTGCTGCGATTTTACTGCTCCGCTGCTTAGCTGAGCTTTCTCGCCGAGGCAAAGCTTAGAGCCCTGTCTTTCTTCCCAAAGGTTGGAGACTCCAAATTATTAAGAAAGGAGGCGCCCTCCTTTGTTTCAAAGAGCAGACAATGCAAGCTGAGGAATGTTTTGCAAAGCCCTGAGAGGTGCCCAGGCACACAACACGCTGTCCAGCCAGCTTCAGCCGCACCGGCTTGTGGAAAGCACAGCAACAACTGACAATGAAAAGCCTTTTCCTCATCCAAGCTGGGTGCCCCATACTGCGAGAATTAATGGCTAAAGACCTGGGCATCCTTCAAATTATGAACCTTGAAACCACTGAGCCATTTATCAGAAGTCAATAGAGATCCTCAGAGTGCTCCATATAATGACAGCTACATACAGTCGTGCAAAAGGACAGTCACTATAATTAGACACAAAGCAAAGACTACTTACCAATATACCAGTTTTTTGGGGGGTGTTTTTTGGTTTGGTTTTTTTTTTTTTTTAGCAACTTCCACGCTCAGTCAGTCTTCAGAGTGCTTTAAAACCGATCAGTCTTGTCATTTTCTACCATTCGTATTGTTACATTAGGAAAAATGTTTTCTTTTCTTTTTTTCCCCTTCCCACTGTGAAACTTTGGGTTCAGAGCTCCCCAGGATCAATTCTGAACAAAGCCTCCAGCTGCAGTGCCATCCAATTTGAAGCAGACATTGGGGACAATTTAAGGTTTTTATCCACAAGAAGGTTTTTTTCCATTCTCTTAAATGCAGCCATAATTAGAGTAATTTTTCATGTAGCCCGCTGATTACAGCGTTTTTACCGTCAAAGATAATTACCTGTAATTTTCTTCCACTTTTAATACTAAAAAGCCATCTTTATTTAGATTCAGGAACAGGAAAGGCGAAACAAAAGAGGAAAATTATTCTGTTATTCATACACAAATTGCAGAGACGTAGGGCCTAAAATTGAAAATTAACCAAAATTATAATGCTGAAAAGAATGGAAGAGGCTTCAGAAGTACAGCTGGTAGTGGGGCTCACTGAATTATTCAAATGACACTGGAGAGAAAGCTACCATACATTTAAACCAACAGCATTGTGTGCATCTTTCAGAAAACCCCGCTTCACACCCCCCGCCCCCCCAGGCCGGCCCCTGTGCGGGCTCCCCCTCGCCTCGCAGAAGGGCGGCGGGTGCCGGGGGAGCGACTCCCGCAGCCCGGGGAGCCCGGCCCGGCGGGTCCCGGCCCCACGGCCCGGCGGGCCCCGGCCCCACGGCCCCTAGACGCTTTAACCCTTTCGCTGCGTGCGCCCAGCGGGGCCGGCGGCGGGGGAGCGGGGGGCTCGCTGCCTCCCGTGGGCTTGCGGGGGGCTCGTCCTCCCCTGCGCGCCGCGCCCGGGTGCCGGTGCGGAAAGCCTCTGGCTGCGTCGTGCCCTCCTCCCCCGCGAGTGATTCCTCAAATAGGCTCAGAAAAAGCCCAGAAAACAAGCGAGCGAGCGAGCAAATAAACGATGACAATAATAATAAAAGCCCCATTAGCTTAGTGGCGTGGGAGAAGGTGGGAAAGGTAGGCCTTCCCGGGAGCGGGGTGGGAGTGAATGGCAGCAGCGGCTCCCACTCGCGCGGCAGCCGCCCCGGGAGACTCGTGAAACAGCGTCATCTATGGATGGAGCAGCGGCAGCTCCCCACGCCAGCGCCAAACCTGCCGCCGCCGGGCTGCCAGCGCCGGCTCCGCCACCGCCCGGGGCCGCGGAGAGCTGCGGAAAGGCGCGCTGCCGCCGCCCCGCTGCGGGCACGGGCGGACGGGGCTGGCCCGGGCTTCGCACGGTTTCTCCGCCGGCCGCCGAGTCCCGCGCTGCCCCTCCGGCAGCCCGTCCCGTCGGGGCTCCCGCCGCATCCCCGCCGCCCCCGGCAGCACCGCGGCAAAGGGGGCGCTTCTCTGTCGGGGTCTGGCCGGGGAGGAAAACCACCTGCGCGAGAATGGCCGCGGATGTGGGGGAGCAAAGACGGAGCGTGCCTCGACGGGCAAGGCGCGGAGCAGCCACGAACCAACCCCAAAGCCAAGCGAGCCCCAAAACTTACCCCTCGGAAAATCTGCTAAGCAAGGATCGGGGTCTAGAAATCTGTACTGAACAGAAGCAGTGGAGAATATTTTTCTGAGTCTCAGGGCAGAAGCTCTTTCTCTATATTCTTGGTTGAGTGAGCACATCCAGGTGTGAAATTGTTTGCACACCCCAGCACCTCTTATATTGCCAGCAAAATTAGCTGTTATTACTGTCACTGTTTAGTGATGGTTAGCTTGATAAAAAAAACCTGCTGTAATCAAGACCTGGCGCATCTTTGCAAATTACAGATAATTGTAAACGTCCAGATTATGATAATAGCATCCTAATCCAGCCTGCAATATAATTATTACAGAGTGTTACATCTGAAACTGTCCAGTAGGGCTAATTCAGCCATTATTTAGACCCTATTTTTGCACTGCAAATGGGTTGCTGAGTTGAAAATGTACGATTGTAATTTCACGGGGCACTCAATGAGTAATGGTATAGGGAGGGAAAAATACAAAAGTGAAATGTGAACAGTAGCGATCAAATCAAACTCTGAAGGACAAAAGACTGTTTGATTCATAGGGAATGAGAAGAGCGGGAATTAAGAAAATAGCAAATCAGTGGTCTGCAGCGTTACGTGTCCAAATCTCAACGACTGCGAGCCTGATGTGCAGTCAGGGCTGCTGGTTCGGCTCCCGCCTTGCATCAGTCCTCCTGTCTGCTCGGCTCTTCCCGGCAGCCTCTCCCCAGCACCCGAAGCATCCCCGAGCTCCCCACCCATCCCCAAAAGAGGGCTCGCCATTGTCTTGTGCCTCCTCTCAGGTGACTGAACGTCACTTTCGGGCAAGAAGCCGCGGGAGCTTCGGAGCCGGGCGGAGGAGAGCGCGGGGTGCGGGATGCCAGCGCGGGGTGCGGGATGCCAGCGCCGGGCACTCCGCGGCGGGCTGTGGAGCCGGCGGCCTTTTGCGCTCCCGCGCGCCCGCTGGACCGGTCATCAGGGGTCCTCAGGGAAATTATCACAGAACCGACTCAATTGTAACTAATTAATCAAAAGAGCCTAGCTAACAGGACTACCTGCAGCTAGCGGGGTTAACTCACTGGGTTAGTTGGCTTTCGACTCCTGATTAACTTTTATTAACCCTGGACTTGAAATACACAAACCCGCTTCATTTTTTAATGACCTAAATCATCAAAGCGCGGTTGCCGCCGGACCGGTTGGTCTCCGGTGTGTCACCGCAGGGTCCAGATGAGAAGAGGGAGTCCGGGACCGGCCCCATGGGCAGGATGGCTGCCGCCCCGGCCCTTGCTGGCCTCTCCCGACCGCAGCCGCTCCTGACAGCCTGCAGTCTTACTCTGCTCCCTTTCCTCCATGCGCATTAGTAAAAACCAGGAGAAAAAAAGAAAGCTCAGTGGATAGCGCGAGGCGAAAACCCTATAAAACGCATTACACGTTGTGTATCGATGAGACCGTAAAGATCTCCTGGAATGGAGGGCCAGCTCTGCAACCAGGCAGATGATGCCGCTGCAGAGCGCGAAGCCGGGTCAGCATCCGTCCCGGAGAGGCTGGCTGAGCCATCCTGCAAAACCCAGGCTGAGGTTTGGACAGCCTCTCCGGGAGTGCCGAGGGGCAGGTGGCAGCAGGAGAGGAGCGAGAAGCCACCCCCAAGCTCTTCTTCGCCAAATGCCCAATCCGTCGCAGGTTCTGGCCGAGGCCGGCGCTCTGGGCCCACACCTGAAGGTGATTAAGGAGGTGAGGGAGCCGTGAGTTTTACCCGCGGCTTGGAAGGTCGCGTCAGTGGAAGGTGCTCTCACAGACAGCCGGGCTGTGGGTACGTGGCAGGATTTATCAGGTCTGTATTCCAGGCAGATAAACTATTGTTTATCATCCTCCCTGAATCTCATATAAATAGACACACCACGGAACAAAGAGAACTATTTAACTGATGCCATACAGATTCTCCCTAAAAAAAGAGAAAGAGAAGCTTAATGTAAACTTCGCGTTTCCTATTTTCACGGCTCTTATCTGACCTATAAAACAGGTTATTGAGTTACTGCAAGCAGTCGCTTAAATGCTGAAAGCAAGACGAGGGGGTTCCCACCCCCCCCCCCCGATTTTCCTTAAGCAATAGATCTCCTTTCCTTAATCCACAACCGAAACACCTAAAGTCTGTCAGTCGCAAAATTGCGTGGCAGAAATCTTTAATTGATGCCACATGTGGGATGCACTCTGGGGACACAGCGCTGCCGGCGGTGGAGCGGGCAGAGCGCGGAGGCCCGCGCAGGCAGCGCGGCCGCGGGGAGCGAATGCACGGGGGAGACCGAGGGGAGTAAGAGGGCGACAGGAACGCCTGACACACGGGCTGCCCTGCCGCGGCGACAGGTTGGAGGGGGTGTCTTTTCTTTCCCCGGGAAGGAGCGGGAGGGAAACCGAGGCTCTCGGCGATGAGACACCACTTCCCGGTGGAGGGCTCTGCCCGCGGGCGGTGCGGGCAGACGCCCGGGCAGGAGCGGGGAGCTCGGGAGAAGCGGGAAGGCGCTCCTCCCGCGACCGTAGGTGGGGACGACGGGCACTGTGTGTGTCTGGATGTGGGTGATGTAGGTGTGCGTCCCAGCCGGGGGCTAGCGCAGCCGGAGGTGGATGTGCTGTGGGTGTGAGAACCCCAAGGGGGACAGGCAGTGTCAGGAGTTCTCGATCTGGGGCAGCGGGTGCTGTAGGCTGCTCTGTGTGTGTGTGTCTGTGTGTCTGCGCGCCTCTGTCTGTGTGTGTGTGTGTGTCAGGCCCTGTGGCTCAGCCCTGGAGCCGCTCGGCACCCACAGGAATGTGGCTCCTCTCGGCTCCCCGAACTGCCCCGGCTCCACATGGAAGTGGCCGCCAGGAAAACAGAAGGGAGGGGAAGAGGGGGAGGGGCGGGGAAAGCCCCGAGCCAGCAATCCGCCGAGTCCAAACCCAGCATCAGACAAAGGACAGTTCATGCCATCCCTTTCCCGAGGAAGAAAGGGGGGAGGCCTGGCCAAGCCAGGCTCCCTGCGGCCGCCGCCGGAGCCCAGGGGCTGCACCCAGGCGGGAAGAGGCGCCGGGGTGTGCCTGCCTGTGTGCGCGGGGACAGAGGGGACAGGAGCATCCCCCTCGGCCCGGGGCTCTCCCGGAGGGGCGGGCGGCCGTAGACTCTGAATGTTCGTCGAGGTCGGGGACACGCGACGGGGAGCCCTGGCAAGGGCATTTCTTATCCTCTCTAGGGGAGGGATGCCAGGCTTCTCCCGACCTGCCCAACACCAACCCGCTTTGGGAGGAGGAGAAATTGAGCAGGGAGGGGGACCGGCATGGAAACCAAGCCGAGCTGACTCGGCTGGCTTGGAGAAGCGAGCGATGCCTAGTCCAGCGGCAGCGGTGTGAATTCCCATTTCTGCCCGGTATGCTGCTTGCCGGCATTCCGCCTTTCCCGAGCTGTTTCTGCGCTGTCCATCCGGCCGTCCCGGCCCCGGCAGGTTACCGTAACCCAACAGCCCCGCGGCAGCTCCTCAAAGAAAGGGGTGGGTGAACCCACCTGGGAAATTTACTTCCACCTCTTGTGTCCAAACCTTTCTGCAAAGGGAAGTGACCTCCGGGAGGGAGAATTTCTTACTGCAGGTTGAATGCTTGTCTAGAGGGAAATGAGGAAAAGAGCGGAAGAAAATGAAAGGGTCAAGTTTTAAAAAAATTTTTTGCACAGGATGGAAGTGAGCAGAAGAGATGAAGCCGAGCTTTTCGTCAGCCCCAGAGTCGTGGGAAGTCCCTGAAACCTTGCGAGTTAAACGAGAAGGGGACGGTCACCCGAACGGCGGCAGAGATGGGGAACGGCGGGGCACCGCGGCAGGGCGGCCGCTCTCCGGCAGCGGGCAGGGGCGGGCAGCCGGCGGGGCCCCCGCCGCCCAGCCCCCGGCACCCCGCACCCTCCCCGGCCTGCAGGGAGCACAGCTGAACAAACTGGTCTATTGTACTGCAAGACATTTACCAACCCCCAAACCTGCTACAAAACAGCAAACGCGGGCTTCTTTCTTCGGGGAGAAAACTGCGCAAACCACACACACTCACGCACACGTACAAAACATGGCAGGCAGGAGAGGAAGGAGAAAAAAGGAGGGGGAGAGCAGCGGGGAGGAAGACTGGAGATAGGTAAGTGCGCCCCAGGGCAGGAGCGTGCCTTTTCAGGCCTCGCCTTCCCCCCTTCCAGCACTCTCCCCACCAGCCACAGTTGCCAGAGGGGCGTCTTTCATCTCGGGGATCCTTCCAGCGACGCTTTTGGCACGTTCACTGCTGTCACCGTACCCCACACGGCTGTGAATTACCACTGCCCCCTAGGATGGGGGTCCCCGCCGCCACGGGGGCACCGCTCTCTACTGGAAGAGAGCCCACGCTCCGTGCGAGTGGTCCGCGCCAGTGGGCAGCACTCCGGCCATCTCGCCCAAGCCGTGCCTCCAGCAATGGGCAGCGCTAGCGACTGCTCTGACGCAAGGATTTTCCCCTAAATGGTGTAGAAACAAAACAAAAACAATAAAAGTACCTCTGAAACGTTCCTCCTTCAGTCGAAGCCGCCGCAAGCTTTTAGCAGGAGCGAGGGGAGCGGGGCCCTCATTTTATTCTTTTCTCATATTTAGTGGCTCCCTTTGACGGAAACGTAATTTGTATAATTAGCCGAGCGCACACGGGCGACTGATGGGCTGTGGAGTGTGCAGCTCTCGACGCTAATTGCTCTCAGGAAAGGATTCAGGGCGGCTTAAGGCGAGAGATTCGCTTTCTCGCATCAGGATGGGCAGCTTTCCCTTCAGCTTAAAGCACTGTGCAATAAGATGTACGCGGTCTTGCCGGAGCCCCTTTCCCAGCAGGGAGAGAGACCGCCGCCCCTCGGCTCGCCCGTGGGTACCTGCAAGGGCCAGATCCTGCCAGCACGCCTGGACTGTGGTGGCACTGCACGGCACTGGAACAGAATGTGAACTCCCAGCTGCCATCCTCTTCCCTCACTTTCTTTCTGAAAGCAAATTGGTATTATATTTTTTTCCTCTTATTAATAGAAGACGGGGTAATTTGGAAACATTTCTCTTGGTCGAAATAATTTTATTTTATTCAGAATATACAGTTTAATTCCTCTATCTACAATTATTTACAGGGTTAAAATAACATTGAAAAAAGTCTCTGGAAAAGTTGAGGTCATAGATTTCAAGGCACCAATGATAGTGTCCACAGCTGAGCCAAAAAACGTCCGTATTGTATAAAAAAGGGTTTCCTTTGAAATGCAATAAGTTACATGCACAAGCTTTACACATTTTAATCTTTTTTGTTTCTTTTCCCTTTTAAAAATTCCCATATGCATTCCTTTCGTTATTATTCCTTAACAGTAAAACACAGGAGTCCAAGGAACAACAACAACAACAAAAAATAATAAGGGTCAGGCTCTAATAAATCGTCCCAGAGGCCAGCGCTAACGGGTGCTGTAGGGAGCCGTGGGGTTGGAGATGGGAGTTGATGGAGTTGGCAGCGGGGTACCAGGAAGTGGAGCTCTCCAGGTAGCTGGATGCAGGGGACGGGTTGGAGTTTGGAGGGTGAGCGTGTGCGTGGGCATGGTGGCTGAGGGAGCGGGACGAGCCCTGAGGTTCCCAAACCGCAGGTGATTGTGGAGAGTTGCAGGCCATGGGATCGCTGGAGCTGGGGCTGTGCTCCGGAGGCATCTCCCCGTTTTTCATGATCTTCTTGATCTTGGATCTTTTATTCTGAAACCAGATTTTCACCTGGGAGCGGGGCGGGAGGAGAGGAGAAGGGAGGAAAGGGGGAGTGGGGAGGGAAAGCGACACCATTAATGCTCGCCTGGCAAGCCGGTGCTTCGCGGCTGCGGTGCCCCGCCGCCCTCCCGCCCCTCCACGGGGACCGATCCAGCCCTTCCCGCCGCGCCGGGCCGGGCCGGGCCGAGCCGAGCCGAGCCGAGCCGCTCGCCGTACCTGTGTTTGCGTGAGTCCCAGGGAGGCTGCCAGCTCGGCCCGCTCGGGCAGGGCGAGGTACTGGGTCTTCTGAAACCTCCTCTGCAACGCTGCCAGCTGAAAGCTGGAATAAATAGTCCGGGGTTTGCGCACTTTCTTTGGTTTTCCGTTCACCATCCGCACCTCGGGTTCCGCCACCTCCTTCTCTGCACGGGCGCAAGAGCGGGAGAGAGACGCAGACGTTAAGTTCGGGACAGGCTCCGCTCCGCTCCGCGCAGCCTGCGCCGCCGGGGCGGCATCCCGCCCGCGGGCCGGGCCGGGCCGGGCAGCGGCGCCGGCCCGACGGGCCCCTGCGGCTCCCCCCGCGGCTCCCGCAGCCGGGCGGCGGCCCCGCGCAGCCTCCGCCGGCTCCCCGCGGTGAGACGGGGGGGGGAACCCGCTCCCTCCACACCGGCCTCGGCCACCCCCGGCCCTCCTCCTCCGCCTCCCACGCCCGCCCCGGGCATCCTGCCGGGCGCGCAGCGCTGCGCGGGCGGGAGCGCAGGGCATGCGCGGCTGCCGCGGGCGTTCGGAGGATGGCCGGGGCCCTGCTGGGAAGAGCTCTGTCCGGAGCGGAATCGGACCCAAGGCATCGACCACTTCCCCCGCACACCCGCGCCATCCCCCTGCCGCCGCCGGCGTGTCCCCAAGCGCCGCCGCGACCGCACTCGTCCCAGCCAAGCCCCAGCCGCTTGGCTTTACCACGGGGTTGTTTATTTTTTTTTCCTCCCTGACCTCTTTCTTTTTTTTTTTTCTTTTTTTTCTTTTTCCTTTTTAAAAATTTTTTTTTCTTTTTTTTTTTTTTTCCCCCACAGCAAGTTACAAAGAAGTAAAACACTAAAACTGCGACGCTTTCTGGTGAAAAACCCTCCCGGCTTCGCAGCCCCGCCACTGCTGGTCTCCCCCTCCCAGTCTCCTCCCCCGCCTCTCCAGCACAGGGGGAAGGAAACTTTCTTCAACACCGCGAACCTGAGTTTGAGACACGCAACAAGGCTCGGCTATTTTCTCCCTCTTCCTGCGGCGGGAAGGAGGAGGGAGGTAGCCGTGGGGGCCCGGGGGCAGCTGACAGAAGCGCTAAAGCACTAGTCCTACAATTTGTAGTTTAGATCATGCGGGCTGGTCAAAAGAAGTAGACCAGTAAACCAGTTCTCCACTTTTTTTCCTCTCCCAATTTTCTTCTTCCCCCCCTCCCCCATTTATTTATTTATTTTTAGTTTCCCTTCTGGTTCAGGGAAAGCCGCATCCCCGTGCTCCGTGGGTCAGGGATCTACCGGGGCGCGCTCCCCCACCCTCCCCAAAGCCGCGGGAGCTTCCCGCACACCCCGGGCCCCCGGCCCTCACCTGGCTGGCTGGCGGAGCTCTGGACGCGGTTGTAAGCCCCGCTGTACTGGTGGTAGGGGCTGGCGTAGCTGTAGTCTGCATAGGCTTTGGCAGGATAGTTCCCGGCAGATCCGTTCATGCCGTGGTACTGGTACTGGTAGGGGTTGAGCGCTTTGCTGTAGGAAGCCGAGGTAGGCGAGCAGTAGCCGTGCGGGGCTCCCCCCGCCGGGCTGTAGTAGTCGGAATCCGTAGCGGAGGACTCGGGTAAAGTGGGAGATTCCTGGGACGGGTGGTGCATGGCTGCAGCCGTCTGAAAAGGAGCTTGGAAGTCGCCGGATCTGATGTTGGGGACCCTTCTGTCAAATACTCCTGTCATAGCTCGGAGCCGGCGGCGGGCTGGGGCTGGCGGCGGGGCTGCTCGGGTCTAAGCAGACATGTCTGGGGGAGGAGGCTGCGGCGCGGTGTCTGTCTCCGGCAGACTGCTGGCTGGGGCGCAGCATAGGCTTGGTTAAATCCTTAATTGCGCTCTTACGCACAGCAGGGTGGATCGGGTTCCATTGGCCAGAGCAATCGGGAGCAGCGACACCCTAACTCGTCCAACTAGTTTAGCACAACAAAGCTTTGGCTTAAAAAAAAAAAAAAAAAAAACAAAAAAAAAAAAAAGGAAAAAAGAAAGAAAAAAAAAAGGAGAAAAAAAAGTCCCATTCAACCTCTTTTTAAAGTGAATACCAACAGCAATCTCCGAGTCGGAGCGCCGCGATTGGGAGGTTTCCGGCTCCCCCCATCCCTGTAGCCGGCGAGGGGGCTCGGCCAGCTCGTGTGCCCTGCAGCCCGGTGCCCCCGCACCTCCACCCGCAGCGCCCTGGGGGAGGGCTGCAGCCACGCCGCTCGGATTTGCCGTCCGGTCCCCCTTGGCTACGTTGATGGCTTGGGAACACCGCACCGGGCGCTCCTGGTTCCCAGCTCGATTTCTGATCTGGTGACAATAACCATTAGCGACTGACCGTGCTGTTTCCCTCCTTTCCCGGGGAAACGTCCGGGACCTCCGCGCTAAATACAGCAAACCCTATTACCCCCAAGTACCTCGAATTTTAGTTACATCATTTCCTGCATTTCCAAGCTGCATTTCCAAGACCCTAGCACGGCCCGGAGCCAGCGGGAGACTCCCGGCATAATGCCCTGCTGTGGGAGTGTGGGGGAGCTGCTAGTGGCACCCTACGGCCTAGGGGCACTCACCCCGCGGATTTCCCGCAAGGCAGCCTGCCCGTGGCACGATGCCCGTGGCTGGAGAGTCCCCGACCCTCTTGCCAGCTCTGGCGCCCCTCAAGGTTCGCCTGTGACCGCTCAGCCCCACGAACGTGCCCTCCTCAAGCCCCCTGGGCGATGCTCACCGTCCGGTCTGCCTCCGGCCCAGGGTCAGAAGCCCCTCACGAAGGGAGCTCAAATCACCCTCACGCGTGGGCAGGACCACTGTGAGGCCGTCGTGGGGCTTCTCCACTTGGAGGCTGTCGCAAGAGCCCGCTTTCCGTGTGACAGCCCCATAGGAGCGACGGGCGCTGAGCGGGGATATCCTGCCCACAGCACTCCGGCCAGCAGCACCCTCCTTCACCTGCACCCGTTCTCTCACACCCATCCATGCACCAGGTCCCAGGCAACGCGCTTAATATCCGGGCCGGGGAGAGCCACGGGCTGGTGATGCCCGTCCCTGCTGATTTTACAGCAGTGTTGCAAAAAAAAAAAAGGATCAAATTTTACTAGACACTAAGGAAAACAAATAAAAGGCTGTTTTCAGTGACCTGGAGTTGTAGATTTTTCTGAAGTTGTTTACTCTCCAGATTTAGCCTGTTTGCTCACCGAAGATCTCCTAGCCAGCTGAGTAACACTTGTAACACAACCGTGCATGTTGTACTTGAACTTATTGTTTGCTTTGGAAATGTCCACAGCTCATATAAAATCACATTAAACAAATCCCTAAGCATTTCATTACATGATTCACTTACTTAAATCCATTGAATCCATTGGAAATGTCTCCCCCCCCTCTTTTTTCCTTTTTTTTTTTTTTTTTTTTTTTTTTTTTTTTTTTTATGTAAAGAGAGGAATCAGAGAGGGATATATGCTTATGGCTGGGGAAGGGGAGAATAAGTTTATTAAAGCTCCCAGTTTGCATCCAGTTGGAAGGGACGGTAGAGGTTTTAAGCAGACGAAGAGGGGGAGAGGGGGAGGAAAGCCCATTTGTGTCATAAAT